CAGTTTTTAAAAGACAAAACAAAACAGGGTCCATAATTTGCTACCCAGATAAAAGATAATTTCTGATTAAATATTTTCTCTTTTCTAAGTGCAAGTATATGTAAGCCTAAGTCAGAGTGATATAACCCACAAATAATACCAATTTGAGAGCTAGAGAATTTGAGAGTTTAGATGAGAGGGGTCAGCAAACTACAGTGCGTCATATCCAGCCCACTACTTACTTTTGTATAAATAAAGTTTTATTGAAACACACCCACACCCACTTATTTACGGGTGTACACTTCCCCGCAGCTACGCAGAGTACTTACAACAGGCCATATGGCCTGCAAAGCCTAGGTTTGGTCTCTACAAGGAGTAACTGTTTATATGACGCATGAGGTTTAAGAGTTTCTTTTTTAAATAATGAAAACATGATTTACCACACAACTTGAAACATTTAAAAAGGTGAACGTTGCAAGAAAGAAATGTTTTTTAAGGACGAAATTTGATGTGTTTTAATCTGACCAAACTTTAATCTGCTCCACTCCACTCCAAGGCTAAATCACTGAATCCCAGTTCAAACTCCTATGGGAAGAGGGACCCTGAACGTAATCAAAATGTACCTTTGCAACTTACCTGAAATGCTTTGAGAAGAGAAAGTGGGAAAGCCTGCCATTTATCTCTTAAAAACTAGAAGTAGAGGGGGAAAAAAGCCATTCTCAAGACTATAAAAGCACAAAGGTTAGAAAGTGCTTAAGAGCCAACAGCATCTCATAATGCACAATTCATATTGTTATTACAATGCAAGTTTAAGTTTAAAAATTAGCTTAGGCCTTATGGGCTCTCCCAGCTTTTTTTTTTTTCTTTCGGGACACTGATATTAAATTTTAGATTGAAATCTTCCAAAAATTCCTAAAGTCCAACTATTTCTGTTCATAATCAATGTGTTTGTTAAAAGTTTTCACAGGGATAAAGTGATAGAGAAGACACATCAATGTTCAAGCAATTTAAATTGCTTGAAAGGTAAATTTAATGCAGTAACAACAATAATCTGAGGATAAATAAATCCACGACAGATTTTAAAGTTTGAAATTTTTTTTCCTTTCTTTGCAGAGAGAATGGTTTTCTGAAAGCACATAGGACTAAAGACGTCAAAACAAAATTTAATTTCTTAATGTCCAGGTGACACAGGCGTGGTCCTCCCTGCTGCCCTCCTAACACTTGCCACTGGCCAAGGTGATAGTTTCTCTTGCTTAACTCAGGATGGATGTTAGTTTCAAGAGTAACTGGATGGTTTGTTTCCTGAATCATCTTCTTGCGAGCCCATACTCTGTAAAGGGGAGAGTGAAGTAGTGTATTTTTGTTTGCCTTTGTCAAGGGTTTCCCCCCAGCCCCAAAGGAGCACACCATACAGTCACGTCATCCCTTCGAGAGGAAAGCCACCCTGTGAACAGCGACAGCTGACACCACCATAAGCATCCCTAAGAGCACTTCCAGGCCCTCATTTGAAAACATTTTCAACTAGTATTTCTCTGTGAACTTACTGATAAAAGTTTTCAAGAAATATTCAATAACTTGAAGCCAAGTTCCTGTGCCTGATGTGGCAACACCCCTCCTTCTCCACCCAGCCCACTTCTTGTAATGAGGGGAACCCCTAGTCACCTTTTGCACGAACTGGGGGTTCACTGTGATCTCCTGGTCCATGGCCTTCAGCCGCTCGTCCAGCTCTATGCACTTCAGCATCTGTACGACAGGCACATTGTAACGTGAGCAGCGGGTTTGGTTCCTTTGCTTCTTTTTTACCTTGGCTTTTTATTTTGGTTGTTCCGGGGTTTCCCATTCCTTTGTTTTGAATTCCTTGGGGTTGGGTGGTTTTGGGGTTCGGCTTTTTTTGAGTCAGAAAGTTCATACAGTACAGGCTCTGTATATTTCCTAACATCCCAGCAGGATCTAGGCAGCAGCCCGTAATCAAACACACATCAGTATCTTCCGCAGTGAAACTGAAGTATATTCACACTAAGTGAGATAAATGAAGACTACACATCATTTCAGGTGACATTCTGCCATCAAATGAGTTACCAAAACAACTTAGTTTTCAGGTTTTATTTTTTAATTTTAAAATTGCAAAAGGATTGTGGAGATATCCTAAGTTATAACGCTATGTGTTGCTTTTAGGATTCTGAGATTTAGTGTT